CATCTGATGAGGAAAAATAAGCATTCTTTGTAAGTGGGCAAACCTGCAAAAGCAGCAAGGGGTCAAATACTTATTCCCCCCACTGTAGTTCCAGGAGTCTGTCTAAACTAAAGCTCAGCTGTTTACTGAGGCAGGTTACAGCCTCTAATACAAACCTCCATCCAAACAGTGTGTCTTCTTAAAAACACCTCACGGCACACACTAAAAAACATAAGCACAACCACCATGAAATGCACTGGGGTGAAGGCCCAAAGTGGAAAAGACCAAAGGTCAACTCAATTTCACAATGAAAGGAGCTTGAAGGATACCGAAATACGCTTCAGTTTTTTTTATCTCTATTTTGTGGTTTGGATTCATTCTTTTTCTGTTTAGTTTGGTGTCCTGACAGAGATCGTTCTCACACAGGTGTCCAGAAACAAACCTTCTGCATCAGTAAATGATGCAGAAGTAAATGAAGAGAGTAAATGAAGAGATTATCCACTGAGAAGGAACCTCAATCTTTTATTTACAATGATAAACAGTCAAAAAGTAACACTGTAAACGGCTGGTTTGGTCTCTCCTGCCCGGTAAACAGAAATAACTGAGAGCTCTCCACTGTTGCTACACATCTCTGGTCTGAGTGAAGACCGGAGATGAAATCGTGTCCACTTCAAAAACACAAACTGATATCCTAACCAGCCTGAGAGGTCATTTTGGAAAGATAAGTGTGATGGTTTGTGCTCCAGTTAGAGCAGAAACAGAGTCAAACAAGCCATCAGACTTGGTTCTCAGTGTTCAGGCGGCCTTCATTAGACGATTAAACTCAAAAGCAAAGTCTCAAACTCTGCGTTTTTTAGACGTCTCATAGCATAGAAACGCATTTGAGGGTTTTAAGGTTTTTTACCAGCCGTTCCACAAGTGTGAGCCAGAAAACCACGTGACGTCTTCACGTCTGCGGGCGTCAGAAATAACCCGGAGCTGAATCTGGCACATGGCTCTCACTGTTTGGGCTCCAAACAAACGGAGTCAGGATCTGTGAGATGAGACGTTCACGTCAAACGGCCATCTGTTTATCTGCAGGCAGAGTAAATAGAGGCTGTGCTTTACCGCCATCACCGCAGTTTAGGGAAGAAAGTTCTTTTATTTATTTTTTGTCTTTTTGACAGACAGATAAACCTGCAATGAAATCCATAAAATTGTAAACGTACATCAGTTTTCTGTACCTTCTGAATATATATAAAGAACCAAGAACACATAAACCAAAATACAATGGAAGTAGACAACAACAACAACAGCAAAATAAAAAAAAAGTGCCTATCAAATATCAAACCTAGACCTCAGAGCAAATCAAGTTGGTTTAACTTTCACTAAATGATTTCATACCATTTTGTCCAAATAATGGAAGAGAGTTCTAATTAAATGAGGTGGGTCGCTATAAGAGGTTACACACTGTTACATAACTTCCCATAGTAGCTACAGCTAATTCTGTAATGAGTAGGATTGTTCAGAGCGAGTGTGAGGAGTGCGTTTGTCGGTGTGTTTGTGTTTGGACAGGAACTCAGCGGCTCTGATTAGAGAGCCGAAAAGGGGAGATAATCCCGGACGAAGGCCATAAAGGCCCCATGATTTTCATGCCTTTGATAAGCACACGAAGGCTCGCACGCAAACTCCATCC